CAGCACAATTGGAAGAGAGTAGTCGATGTCACTGAAGTGTGCATGTAGAAATTTTTGAAATGGTGTATCTTTGGCTATGTATATTTTCACCAAAAAAAAAAAAAAAAGGTTGAGAAGAGAGAGGGTTGCATGTCGTAGGGTTGTTAACATTATCTTTATAAACAGTGTTATGCCAACTGAGCTAGATGTTTCCCAAGACCATGGTCCCTCCCCACAGCCCTCCACCCAGCAGTTCAGTCCCTCAGGGAGTTTGGGTGTGTCTATGCAGCTTCTATGACCTTGCCTTGTACAAGTTGTGCTGGCTTCCCCAGTACTGTGTACTGTTTTACCCTTCACCAAAGTTACCACTTATCTATTGTCTATTTAGTTTCCCTCCCCTCACACCTCCCATCCCTCATAACCAACAAAGATTGTTTCTTTTTGGGTGTACACTTTTTCATGAGTTTTTACAGTAGAGGTCTCATAGAATATTTGTCCTTTAGTAATTGACTTATTTCACTCAGAATAGTGTCCTCCAGTTTGATCCATGTTATGAGATGCTTCACAGATTCATCACTGTTCTTTATTGTTGCATAATACTCCATTGTGTATGTACCATAGTTTGTTTATCCATTCATCCGTTGATGGGCATCTAGGTTGTTTCCATCTTTTTGCTGTTGTGAACAGTGCTGCAATGAACATGGGTGTGCATATGTCTATTCGTGTGATGGCTCTTATTTCTCTAGGATATATTCCTAGGAGTGTGATTGCTGGATCATATGGTATTTCTATTTCTACCTTTCTAAGGAAGTGCCATATCATTTTCCAAAATGGTTGTATCACTACACATTCCCATCAGCAGTGCATAAGAGTTCCCGTCTCCCTGCAGCCTCTCCAACTTTTGTTATTTCCAGTTTTTTTGATTCACGCCAGTAATGCCAGGGTGAGATGGTCTCTCATTGTGGTTTTAATTTGCATTACTCTAATGGCTAGTGATCGCGAGCAATTTCTCATGTGTCTGTTGGCTGCTTGAATGTCTTCTTCGGTGAAGTATCTGTTCATATCCTTTGCCCATTTTTTAATTGGATTATTTGTCTTTTTGTTGTAAAGGTGCCGGATTTTCTTGTAGATTATGGAGATTAGACCTTTGTCTGACTTGTACTGTCCAAAAATTCTTTCCCAGTCTGTAGGTTCTCTTTGAACTCTTTAGGTGAAGTTTTTTTTTTTTAATTTTTTTATTGTACTTCAGGTGAAGGTTTACAGAACAGATTCTCATGAAACAGTAGTGGGGTTCTTAACCATTGTCATAGGGCAATATGTGTACTAACTGTTTAATAAGAAACTATTTGTTCTGTAAACCTCCATCTAAAGTACAAAGAAAAAAGAATTATCTATGTGAGATCAAATTTACAACAGCAACTCAAAAGGTTTGATGGGAAGCCTAGGGGACAGTGAGTTGAAGATAATGGTGATGGAATAATTTGGAAAAGGATAGTGAGAATAGCAGCACAACTGGAAGAATGTAATTGATGTCACTGAATTGTACTTGTAGAAATTTTTGAAATGCTGTATCTTTGGCTATGTATATTTCCATGAAAAAAAGGTCCTCCAAGGTCGAGGAGGGAGAGTGTTAATATGTTACGTGGCTGTTAACCAATGTCATAAAACAATATGTATGCTGACTGTTTAATGAGAAACTATTTGCTCTGTAAACCTTCATCTAATGTACAATAAAAAAAAAATTTAAAGAAAAAAGATTATGGCCTTGGAAAACCTATGAGGCAGTTCAACTCTGTCCTGTAGGGTTGCTATGAGTTGGAATTGAAGTGACATTTGAAATTGGGTAATGGGTAGAGGGTGGAAGGGTTTTGAGGTGCTTGATAGAAAAAGCCTAGATTCCTGTGAAGAGATGGTAGGTAGAAATATAAACATTAAAAGTGTTTCTGGTGAGGTGTCAGAAGGAAATGAGGACCAAGGAAAAGCAATCTTTGTTAGAAAGAGGTAGAAACTTGGCTGAATTGTACTCTACTGCTGGGTGGAAAGCAGAACTTGTAAGTGATAAACTTTGATATTTAGCTGAGGGTATTTCGGAGCAAAATATTGAAGGTGTGCCCTGGTTTCTCCTTCTGCTTATAGTAAAATGTGAGAGGAAAGATACAAACTGAGGAAGGAACTCTTAAGTGAAAAATAACAAGCTCTTGCTGATTTGGAAAATTCTCAGCCTTTCCATTATGCAAAATATGCTAAAAGATGCTCTGGAGAGAAGGCCAAGAGTGTGGCTGACAGCCTGCTGCTGAAGAGATTAGGTGTGTAAGTCACAGATCCAGATTTCCAGTGCTTAGAGGACGAACACTTAAAAGCAAATCACACATAACTTTGCAAATTAAAGAATGGGGAAATATTTTCTAGGGAAATACTAATGGAAAGAAAGTAGATATAGCAATATTTATAGCAGAGAAAATAGAAATTTAGAAAAAAATCATTAATAGGAATAAAGAGAAACACTACTGAATGATAAAGGAAATATTTACCAATTCCATCTAACAATTAATGTATTCTGTGACTTTAATAACATGAACACTGAAATGTGTGAAGTGAAAACTGACAGGACTACAAGGAAAAATGGGGAAATTCACAATCATAGTTTCAGAGCTTAATATATTTCTCTTAGAACTTGATAGTTCAAGCAGCAGAAAAATTAGTAAGGATAATAGAAAAAAGAATTATACAGTTAATGAGCCAGATCTAATCAGTATATACATAGAATGCTACAGACAAGAAAAAAAAAGTGCAGTATACATTATTTTTCATTCACACAGACAACTGAAACCCATTGCTGTCAGAGTTGAATTCCAACTCATAGCGAGCCTATAGGACAGAGTAGAACTACCCTATAGGGTTTCCAAGGCTGCAGTCTTTCTCTTTCAGAGCAGTTGGTAGGTTCAAACCACTAAGCTTTCAGCTAGCAGCCGAGCGCTTAATCATTGCACCACCAGGGCTCCTAACACAGACAACAGTCAAAAAAATGGCCATCTACAAAGCCAAAAAAATATAAAAGATTTTCTAATTCTGTAGTGAATTCCAAAAATCAATCATACAGATCACAATCTGTGATCAAAATTCTATTTCCAAAACAAATTCCAAAGTTAAAGAACATGTTCTCTGACCATAATCAATTAAATTAGATGTCACCTGGTGGCGCAATGGTTAAGTGCTCGGCTGCTAACTGAAAGGTAGGTGGTTCAAACTCACTAACTGTCCTGAGGGAGAAAAGATCTGG